GAGGTCTATGACATCCCAGTCTTGCTGATAACACCCTCATTTAGAGTTCTGAGTCCCACTGGAAATTCTAGAATTGGAAATTAAAATCTTTAATTTAAAAAAATGACAATTGCATTGGCATGCTGGAGAATGTAAGGCTGCATATTACTAAATTTCATGAACTCCTGCATAGCCACTGCCATTCTCACAGAGACAGGGGTGAGCCTACGTAGGGAACGGTAAGTACAGGTTGCAGGTGGGGTTCCTTGAGTGGGGAGAGCCACGTAGTAGATGTAGGTCATTGTCAAGTCCTAGCTTTCATTTTGGGTGGTAGAGTTTGTGGATGTTTATTCCATTACTAAAAATAGCAAATGTAAAAAGCTAACTAAATAAAAGTAGGCTACATGTGGATCATGATGGAAGTGTCTCATGAACCAGGGATGATGGCTAATCCAATTCTATACACCTGAGGTCCAATAAAAAACAAAACAATGAAAAACAAGCCTGTTAAAAAAGGATGATTTGAGGTTTAGATTTTGTGATATGTGTGCTTTTTCTTACTAGTTTTAATTTTTTTTCACTCACTAATCATTTTAAGCACCATTTTTCTTCTTCATTTCATCACAAGGTCTCCTCATGCAGGTTATTTTTGTTCCTAAAAGTCTTAAGCATCAGGAATTGGTTTAACCCCTTTGGTGGGCATCAAAGTCTTATTAGGGCAGAAGGAAGGTGGGGCCAGCTTCAGGAGAGAAGATGAATGAACACTTTGCCACAGCTGGCTCTGGGTGATGACCTAATCCACATGGACTTTCAGAGGAGGGGAAAGAGACACTGTTGACAAGGGTACCTCTACTCTAAGCCTTGGTTCTCATACTCACAACTCCCTGCCTTGAAGATTCAAGTTGGCTTTTACTTTGGCATCCATCTACTCATCAAACACTCATTAGGCCCTGGGTGAGATGCTTTTGTGTGTTCTAGGCCCTCGAGGATACAGAATGCATAGGGGGTGTCTTTCCTGGGTCCTACCCCATGCTAAGTGCCTTGTATGTGTTCCCTCAGCTCTCACAGCCACCCTCCTCTGTGGCTTCCTCCGTAAGTGTTCTGCTCATCTTATTACAATTGTCAACTGCACATCCTATTCATTTGACTGAGACACTGGGTGTAATGGAAAGGACAGTGGGCTTTGATGTCAGACTGGTCTTAGTTCCAATCCCAGGTCTCCACTGTAATGTCTGGCATATTTGTTTAAATTTCACCTCTTTGAGCCTCAGGTCTCTCAACTGTCAAATGGGAATAACAACGTTCATCTCACAGGATTGCATGAGAAGGAAATGAGATAATTAATTACAAGCATGTTTCTTTTTTGTCGCATAGTAAATACTCAGTAAATGGTCTCTATTTTTTTCCTTAAGAGAGTAGGATTTTTAAATAATTTACCTTTGTATCCCTGAAGGGCTCAATACCTGGTAACATGTTCATTAGCTGTTTGTTGAATGAATGAATGAATGAATGAATGAATGGGTGCATGCCCTTTGAGCATGAAAACCCAGGTTCTACCATACTTTACAGCCTTCTTTCTTGTCAACCCCACAGGAGCTCTGGGAAGGTGAGAGCTATCTCACTGAGCACAGCCTCCACACCTCTGGCCAGGACTTAACTAGATTGGAGAGCCTGAGAATCTCTCGGCTCCGTGCCACAGAGGGAAGGAAGGAGATGCTCTGGTCTTTCTGCTGACACTTGCCCAAAAAAAGGACAGTCACTCAATCACAGACTTCTTTTGCTGTCCAACAGCTTCCTGAATAGTCCTGAGAAGGTGACTGGCTCCAGATGCTGCTTTCCCTTGAGAATCAAGGGTGTTGGACCAGCCTTGAGAGAGAGACAAGAACTGGGCCCTGGCTGGCACCAGCAGTGGCTCCTGAGACCATAGACACAGATAGGCACCCTATGCCTGGCTTTAGGTTCAGGCCCGCTTCCTAGACCCCCAGACCCTGCTATTTCCTTCCAGACGTGATGGAAACTCAGAGGATGAAGGGAAGGAAGACAGGAGCTTAGACAGGTGCCCCCTTGCCCCCCAGTTCCATCCTCCCAGCAGGCCTCATGCTAGGTGAGTTGACTTCTCACCTCCCTGCCACTACTGTCCCCTCTGACTCACACCTCATGAGCCCTGCCCTCTCCTTAGTCATTCACATGAACAAGCACTGCTTGGTGTGGCTCCAGATTGGGGATAGCACCCTAGGCCAGGAAGTAGGAGGCTTGGGTTCAAATCTTGCTTTTGTAGGCAGGCTCGGTGACTCAGCCTGTAATCCCGCACCTTTGGGAGGCTGAGGTGAGTGGATTGCCTGAGCCCCTGGGTTCGAGACCTGCCTGGGCAGCGAGACCTCATCTCTACAATAAATAAAAAAAAAAAATCAGCCGGGTGTGGTAGCGCGTGCCTGTAATTCCGGCTACTTGGAAGGCTGAGGCGGAAGGATCGCCGGAGCCCAGTAGGTCGAGACTGCCGTGGCCGGGAGCGGCCACTGCACTCCAGTCTGGGCGACAGAGTGAGACTCCAACTCAAAAAAAAAAAATCTTGCTTTTGCTACTCCCTGGCTGTGGGATTTTAGATGAGTCACTTTTATTCTTGGAACTCAGGGTCCTCATCTGTAAAATGGGATGCTATTACCCACCTGGAAGGCCCGGTGTGAGAATTAGCAGCTATATATGCACATAGAGGTAATCTCAAAATTGCTGTTACTGCTAATAATTATTACTCCACCTATTCGGGGGCTGAAGTATGGCAAAAGGCCTGATAGATCCCATTTGCTCATCAGTATGTGCTAAAAATAAGTGTTTTTCTCATTTCTGTAGCTTGGTCAGCAGAATGGAGAGACCCTGGCAGATCCCAGGAAACCTCACCGGAGCCTGAATTGTGGACAGCCCCTGTGGATTCGCTTACAGGGAGCAATTTAAGAGGCAAACAAAACATGAAGAGCTACTCAGAATTAACAATGGACCAGATGGTAATGCTACTTTGAAGCAATAAAACATGATAAATAGCTTCCTGCTGCTACTCCTGATCAATTTCAATATTTAATAATTCCACTGCCACCCCCACCCCCTCAGCTGGCCCCCTCCGCAGGATCGTGTGACAACTCCCGGCATTCAGCTCACAGAGCAAACACTTCTTCACTTTCTGAAGGCGTCAGCAAAAAGTGCTGCTGCCGCTCGATTGTCACATGAGCACACTCCGTCCTCAAAATGATAATTAATCTGCCCGCTTCTACCGAAGCCGCTCCATCTCACGCCTCTCCTGGTTACCAGGGAAGGCTGTAACGGAGCTGCCAACTGCAGAGATGTGATAGGAGCACTCACCTTTTTGATGCAGTGACTGGTGGTAGTCCCTGAGTTCTGCTTTTGAATTAAAGAAAGGGGAGCATCAGGGAGCTCCATGTCAGCTTACTCCAGGACTAATCAGTAGGAGAGAGCAACTCAGAAGGGGAGCCAAGGTGGGTTGGGATTTGAGCCTTATCCACCAGCCTCAGTTTCTTCCTCTGTACAATGGAGATAGTCCTATTTACCTCCAGGAGAATTCTAGACAGTGCCTCACATTTGAAGTGCCCAGCAGAGTGCTTGGCCCATAGGAATCCACCAACAACTGGCAGCCGGTAGCATCATTACCAAACACTGAGCGCCAGCACCCTGCAGGAAGGGCCTGCTGTGTCTTTGTGGTCAGAAAGTTTCTAGCACATAAGGGACAGTATCCTCCAGGGTAGTACCAGTCAACAGACCGCCCTAAGGACTCCCCCAAGTGGTGTCTACCAATAAGATGAACTGCCTTTCACAGTCAGTGAGGACTCCAAAGACCTCAGGGCAACGTTGGAGAGCAGGGCTTGCTAGTGCCATTTTATAGATGGAGACCTGGAGGCTAGGAGGGGAAATGACTTCTCAAGTAGATACAGGCAGGAGATGGCATAGGCAGTTCTGATCTGGAGCTCCCTTGATTTCATGTCCTCTCCACTGAATCACAGCAGCCAGCCACCCTCCAGGTGTCCATCCTCGTGCATGCCTTTTGCAGGGAGACAGCGGAAGGAGGGGGAGTGTAGTGCCAGCGTGCTGTGGGCTCGCAGTTACTGTGTGATCTTGGTCACCTGAGCTGCAATTTACTCGTCTGTGAAATGAGACTCGTAATGCCTACTGCACTGGTTCACGGGGACATTTAATGAGGGAATATGCATGAAAGGATTTCAAAGTTTTGTGATGAGCTGTACAAATGGCAGTTATGGTTATTATAATTTTTTGGAACACCCTCTGTGAGGAAAAAGATTGGAAACTCACCCACCCAAAGGTGGGTTCTCCTAACAGGATCCTGCAGCATCTAACATAGAGGATCAAAATCAAATTCTTCTGTGCAGCATTCAAGGCTCTGACAGATCCTGCAACCCCATCTCTATCCCTCCTGGCATCCCCTTCTGGTATACTTGGGGTGGCCTGAGCCCAACAGCCTGTCACATGTGTCTATACTGAGGTTGGGCAACGTCCCTGCCAGAGTGTCCATCCCAATCCTGTATACCAGCTTATCCTGCACACTCTTCCCAAGAAGTCTTCCTTGGGCCAAGGGTTTCCTCCACTTGGGCCCCTCATCACCCCCTGAGCTTCTCTCCATCCTAGTCCACACCACACTACCTAGTGTCGGTTTCTTATCTCCCTCTCAGTGCTACAGTGAGTTCCTTCCAGGTGAGAACAAAGCTCTGTGCATTCTAGCCCACTCAAGGTGGGGCCCAGAACGTGCTCAAGATGTGAGTGCTGAGGGATGAGCACTGAGTGTCTAAAGCCTTAAAGACAAGGAATGCTAATGGAATTAGAATTTGGTAGCAGACAGAGTATTTAAATTCAGTTCAGTCCCTGGAATGATGTCTCAGTCTGATGGGATCATCTTCCTCCCTCCCCAACCTAGACTCTTGACAAAAAGGGACAGAACATGCAGCACTCGAACCTGCCAGAACCCCCACAGGTCACAGCGGAGGAAATCAGTCACCAGGTACCTGAGTCCCGCTGGTCCAAGGTCATGGAGTTCCACCTCCGTGTGATGTCAATGTAGAGAATGTCCACGGCGGCCATGGATAGGCTGCTGCTGCTAAGTTTGCAGTTCCTGCCAATGAGGAAAGGGAGACGTGTCATTGCTGGACTGAAGCCTATCTTGTCTGTCTCTCCTCTAGGCCTGCTGTGTCTGTGTCCTCCCAAAATTCGTAGGTTGAAATCCTAATCCCCTAATGGGATGGTATTAGGAGGTGGGGCTTTTGAAAGGTGATGAGGCCATGAGGGTGGAGCCCTGGAGAATGGGAGTAGTGTCTTATAAGGAGAGGCATTCGAGAGCTTGCTTTCTCTGTCTGCTCTCTGCCACATGAGGACACAAGGAGAAGGTGGCTATTAGCAAACCAAGGAAGTGAGCCCTCACCAGACTCCAGACCTACCAGCACCTTGATCTTCGATTTCCCAGCCTCCAGAAGTATGAGGAACAAATGATTGTTGTTTAGTTGCCCAGTCTGTGGTACTTTTGTCCTAGCAATCTGAACTATGACAGCGTCTTTGCTTGGGCCATGTTCCCTGTCTGGAATGTTCTCACTTCCCAGAGCTGAAACTACTGAAGGATGTATGGTAGGGAATTGTGGGAGAGAAGATGGGAAATGTAAGTGAGGCTAGATCCTGTGGGTTCCTGCAGGTTCAGCCATTTGGTTAGTTACGGGTCTAATGGGCAGGGAAGAGCAAGGGCTTTAGGAGGGCAAGTCTCAAGTTGCAGCCTGGCTCTGCCACGTGGAAGCTCTATGACCCTGGTTAAACAGTTTCACCTTCTTGAGAGTTCGCACCTATAAAACAGGTGGTTCTTATTATAATCACTGTGTGTCAGCTTGACCTGACCCAGGGACGTAGGCCCTTGCTTGCTCCAAAAGGGAAAGAGAATGCCACATGTCAGAAAATATTCCCTGCGCACCTGTCATCAGCTTCCTATCCATTAGTCTTTGGGAGGAGGGGGAGAAGCTGGACCTGCAGTGCTGTCCTTTCCTGCCAGTGTCCAGGAGGCTGACTGTGTCATGCTCAGATGACCCAATGATGACAGCACATCACCAGTTTTGGCTGAAGCATCACTGCTGTCCAATAGCAATTCCCCACTGGAAATGCTCACCAGATGAGGCCCTGAGACCAAATCTACAGACAGGGGCTCAAGACTTCTGGACTTCACCTATCTTAATCCGTCACCTGAAGATCCAACATAAGCCCAGGATCAGCCGCACTAAGCCCCAAGAATGATAGAGCAGATAGCGCAGCCTGGGTCCTCGTCCCTTTGTGTGGGCTGACACAGCACTGCTGAGGAGGTTCCTCGATGCTTACTCCTAACATTTGGGGAGTCACCTGAAAACGACAGGGGGCGGGGAGGAGGAAGCAGGCCTCTGAACTTCAGGTGCTCCCTTTATTTGGATGCAGAGGCCACAGTAATCAGGTTTGCAGTCTGATGTCAGTATGGGTGCTCCCCATCCAAGCCACAGAAAGAGTGTTTAGAATTCTCCTCTCCCTCCACCATTTTTTGGGCCTGGAAATGTGGGGAAGTAGTCTTACATGGACATCAGACAAATTAGGATTTAAATCCTGACTCGGTATTTTTTCTAGTTGCATGATTCTGGGCAATTTACTTAAACCTGCTGTGCCTTTATTTCCTGGTCTCTAAGCTGATAATAATACCTGCCCACACAGTTGTTGAGGGTGTGAGTACAAGCCAAGGACCCAGCATGGTGCCTGGTACCAGGAAAGCCCGCAGCACTTGTTAGTTCCCTTCCCCAGTTCTCTCCCTTTCCTCTCCCAGAGCTAGAACCATCTTGTTGGAGGCTTCCTGAAGCTGACCTTTCAGTGAGTGATCCTGCCCATTCTGGGGAAATGGAGCTCACCAATCCGAGTGTCTGGGCACAGGGCTTGGGCTTTCTGTTCAGACTAGAGGCAGCCCTCGACTTATCAGGTGCACCCCACTCCAGGACAGGATGGTGTTGAGAGGCGAGTCCCAAGGCAGCCTGGATTTGCCTTGGGAATCCGGAAAGCCAGATCTCGGGGCCAGCTGTCAGGTTGCTAAACTACATTCAATGCTGCTTTCAACTTTTCAAATGAATCCACATCCATCGCCCCAGCTAATGATGAAGTGGTCCTTTGATTTCCCATTTGTCATTCTCCCTCGTGTGAATAGCTCTGTTAGGAACTGGACGGGGGAAGGGCTGATTGGCAAGCAGGGCTTGGGCATTCAGAGAGCCCTCTCCAAAGCCATGCACACCCCTAACGAGGGTGGCTGGGAGTGTGCCCAGCATGGTGCCCAGATGAGGCTGGTGCTCCTTATCTACTGGCAAGCTGGCTCACCCCTTCCTCCCCCCTCCCTTCCTTTCTTCCTGCCTGTGTTTCCCAGGCTGTCAGTACACATCCTGCTTCCTCCTGGGCTCCTGCTCTGTATTTCAATGACAAGTGTCACCGCGGCAGACTTCAAAGCACATCAGCACAGAGTTATTGAGCCCCAGTAACAACATGTCAGTGGACACAGAGGTTTTCACGTCACCTGTTGCCAAGATGTCTCCGATGGTTTTTGCTGTGGACGATGTTCCAGCCTCCCAAGGTATTCTAACAGCCTGCATGCTAACTTCCAAAGCTTCATTAGAAACAGCCACAAGTGTCCTAATTATCATATCAGTGTCCTCTGGACCGCCTGCTCCCTCAAGACAGAGCACTGCCTGACTTGCTCTGTGAGTTAATGGAATATAAAAAGGAAAGCCAAACTGACCACTGGTATATAGTTATTTTTTTCCTGACCGGTAGAAAATAGAAGTGTGAAACCTTTAGCAGGAGCCGTAATGTACCAAAGAGAATTATCCATCCCCTTTCCAAGTAACTCATCCTCCCTAGTGATGCTTGCAAATACTGTTGATTGCAGCATCTGCCACTGGGACAGAGGAAGGAGCCATGCTGGCTGCAGTGGACAGGAAATGATTTAAAATAATTTTGATTCTGCAGGCATTTCTTGGGCACCATCTGTATGCAAGGGCTTCTCTGCCTCATTAGCTGCTTGTATGTTTATAATCATTCTTCCAGGAAGGTATTCCTAGTCCCATTTCAATGAAAGGTAAGCCAAGGTTCAAGAGAATGAATATAACTTGCCCAAGATCACACAGCTGGGATAAACATCTTGTCCTTTCTTGGAGGACAGAGTAGTGGCTTTGGGAGCTGTGGGGAGGTGGCCCAGTCCAGGACCACAGGAGGAATTCGGGAATCAAGAAACAAATTCTCAGACCAGGGACCAGCAGGGTCGGAGCTTCTAAAGTGCGCCTATGGGAGCTCTGGGATGGAGGGTGGGAGCTAAGACAACCAGACAACCAGGGTAACTTGGATTTGTCCCCAGGGGCACCAAACACTCTTCATCAATTCAAACAGGGAGTGACTCCAACAACTAAGACATCTAGTCTTTGGAATGAAATGTTCATCCATCTATCCACTCGATACAGATTTTATTTTGTGCACACTCTGTAGGCAGTATTCTGGGCCCAGTGAGCAATGCAAAACTGAATAGGTCTTGGATATTGCTCTCAGAGAATGTAAGTGATCTTAGGGTCTAGGGTAAAAATGTGAAGCCTTGATAGCTCTTAATCATTGAGGACAGTTTCCCCTTATGCCCTGGGATGCAGTTTTTCAAATGACTAATGAGTGGAAGGATAAACTCTTCAATAGAAGAGAGTCCAAGAAGTCCAAGAGAAGACACATAAGAAGCCAGGAAAATTTCTAGGAAAGGATAGGCTAGAAATGTACATGACAGAAACAAAGCTTTGGAGTCAAATGCACTTGAGTGTGAATCTTGGCTGTGTCATGTGACCTTGTACAAGTTAGGGAAGCTCTGTGCATCTAAATTAGGAAATTTAGATTTGTGCAGTGAGAATAAGGCTACTCACCACACAAGTTTCTTTTAAGGACTAGCTCAGTGCCTGGCACACATGGGGAAGTGGCAAAGAACCCACCCTTCCTCTCTAATGTAGAACCAGTTTGAAGAAATGCTTCTTGTTCTTATTTTTTCCCCAGAATCAAAGGAATTTGGGCACATTGGACAGGAGAATCACAAATCATTCACGTTCATTAGGAGTCCAAGTATAGAAAGATTTGAAATGATCACTCTCATTTCCTCTTAACAACTACTGACATCTCATGGGAAATTTAGGAACCAACTTTTCCACTCCATAAAATCCTATTTATAGAGTTTCTTTTGTGTTCATCTTTTCTCTGTGCAGAAAAGCAGCTTATTTTTCCTGAAGTGTTATCTATAAGGTGAAAGCTAACAAATGTTCAATATTTATTAAAATGTGTACACGATTGCATGTGCACATGTGCATGCGCACACACACACAGATACACACACACACACAAGCTAAACATCTGGGGCAAAGAAAACAAGTCTAGTTTAAAAAGTCTGGCTTCTAAAGGCCATTGATATCCAAGGCATAGACTCTTACAATATTGCTGAAAAGGGATCATCACAGAAGGAGGAGATTTTCAAAGTCACTGAGGACCTAATGACAGAGGGGGAAGCAAGGCTACTTACACTTCTATTCTAGAACATTCTAACGCATCATTTTTCCTCTTGAAGAATAAAACCCCCCACAGCTACCCATTGTGAAGCATACTAATATCTCCTTATAATGAAAGAGAGTGGAAGAGGAAAAGGGAAAGAGAAAATCATCCTCTAATTCGAAAGGAGACCTAGGATAACAAGTCATAAACTGGAATGGCAAGTACTCAAGGTGAAGAGAAGCTGTCACGCTTCCTAGGAACAACCCGGTTTGGGCCAGCTGTTTAGTTTCCAGGCTGCCTTAATGAAAAATGTCAAATTCTGGTGTAGGATCCATTGGAAAAAAGTGTCCTTAGTGACTTCCATAGGATGCCCCCCAAATTAGCAATCCCACAGAAGGAGAATAACAAAAATGCATTTCTCTCAGAGAAAGCTGTCAAGCTGAAGAATTAATCAGATACTTTTTATTTCTCAAAAAAAAAAAAGATGCCTCCGTACCCCAGTGATTATTATAAAATAAAATTTTAAAAAAGGAGAGAAAGAAGAGGCACTTAATTCATGGTAATATGTGCTACTATTATGTGCCTCCTGAGGAAATGACACAAAAAACTGGTTAGATAGAGTTAAGTCTAGACAAGAGAACAACAGTTCATTATTTCTCATTTCTTGGTGAAAAAGAAAAATAGAATATGGCCAGACTGGCATTAGCATAATTCACATCAAAAATTGCTGATCTATGCAGCACATTATGAAAGATGGACACGAAATAAATTCAATCGGATCGTTTATTATTTTCTTCCCTCTAGTTCTCTTCAAGGAACTTGGAGAGTGAGTGGGTAGAACAGATGAGAAGCAAGTTCAACTTCTGCCGTGTGCGTGGGCGTGCTGAGAGGAGTGTGTATCTCGCCAGCGAATATGTCTTTTTCAAAGTGCTCCTGAGAAGGGCACTTGGTTCGATTTAACATATGGCATAAATATTATTAATTCATAATGAAGCAACATTTAAACCAAAGTGGAAGGAGAGAGAGAGAAGAGTTGTTAGCAAGAGAAAATGCTTGCTGTTAAATTTAGCTGGCAAGACTGAACACCCTCAGATAAATCTGAAAGCAGAGAAGATAATCTTTTATGATTAGGTGGCAGTTGGGATTTCTTGGTACATTTTAAAAGGAAAAATCTATTAAGGGTTGTGCAATATTTTCTCCATTTCTTTCTGCACCCTTAATTACTACAGACATTTGTCTGGCAGGGAGAGGCTGGTTATCCAAGTCCCTGTGCCCCAGCAGCCTGGTCCCCACCTGAAGACGTGGTTTTCCAGTCTCACAGTCACACAGATTGGGGACGATGGCTGCAGGATCTAATAGTCTCTAACATCACAGAAATTGGGTTTTCATGCAAATGTTCTTAATTATAAAGAACGAAAGGATGGAAAAGCATAAAGCCCATTGCATGGAGACAGATCTGTGGCAATATTGGCCTCACCTGGTTTGAGAGCATTTCAGAAATCTTATTGGCTAGAATCATTCTCAATTCCATTTTCAAGAGGGTGTATAAACACAGTAGTCTTCTTAAAATGTACCTTTGTCCTCTCATACCAGAGGCTACCCACCGATGGTCTCTATGATAGTCATACTTTGATTGAACCCACACAGTGCATAAAACTACTTGTTGAATTGCCAACATACATATATGTGTATTGAGATCTTATATAAAAATTATATCTCTTGCTTCTCTTGAAAAATCAAAAGCTCTGGTGATGCTGAGCCCCATGACAGCCCTTCCTTTAGACAGGGGATATGCTCCCCAGCCTGCCACCGCCTCTGCAATCATTTATGCTTCCTGCCTGGCCCTGTAGGCAATTGAGATTGATTCTTGTCATAAGCTGCTTTTTCAAATCTCCTTCTCTCTCTTATCCTTTGCCAGAATTTTATTTATTTATTTATTTTTTTGTGGCGATGCAATCTTGCTATGTTGCCCAGGCTGGAGTACAGTGGCATGATCACAGCTCACTGCAGCCCCTAACTCCTGGGCTCAAGCAATCCTTCTGCCTCAGTCTCTCAAGTAACTGGGATTACAGATATGTCCACTGTGCTCCCCTAATTTAAAGATTTTTTTTTTTTAGAGATGGGGGTCCTGCTATATTGACCAGGCTGGTCTCAAACTCCTGGTCTCAGGTGATCCTCCTACCTTAGCCTCCCTAAGCACTGGGATTACAGGCATGAGCCACTGTACCTGGGGGATTTATTAGGAGTAAAAAGGAGGCATTTCAACTTCTACCACCAATTTGACCTAGAAGAGACACCTTTTCTGACTTCTAAACGTAGGCCATGCATGCAATCCATTTTCAGGCTTTCCTTGCAGCCTGCACTGTGTATCCCTCCCTTTCCTACCTGGAGAAGTCCTGCTTATACCAACCCATACCCTGCCTCCCCTCAGGGGTCTGCCTGGATACTACCTTCTCTGTACTTTGAGCATATTGAACACAGTCCTGCTTGGGAGTCCACTAGCCATGCCTATGACTCTGACAAAGGACTGTATTTAGTTATTTGTTCATCCTGTGCTGTCTGTTGGACTGAGAGTCTCTTGAGGGCAGGCAGGGTTCCATTATCTGTCTTTGAATGTCCTGTGGTGCTGGAGTTGTTAGGTGGAACCAGATATAGTCCTTTCCAGTCTGAGGTCGAGACAGGACCGATCTTCCAGGGCCAGGGTTCCTGTAGCTCTCAAGATGTCGACCACATGGAGACAAGTTGTACCTTCTGGTCTTGCATCCAGTCTTCTGTGCAGTGGTGCAGAGGTTGGGGGATCCGGAAAGCTCCTGCTTTTGCTCCTGGAGGTCTGAGCCCTTGGTACGTTATGTCAAGAAAAGCACCCCCGCTTGCTCACCCTCATCATTCTCCTGGGTCCCCAAATGCTTCCACCGTACCTCTGGTGTCATTATGACCTGTGGCCTCTGTCACTAAGCTGCTTCCTTATGCTACAAGCCCCAAGAATCACAAAAGGGTAGACACTGCATACTTATCTGCTCTCTTACCCCCCCTTTTCACTGTAATGGGATAGTACTCCACACAGTTCGAAAAATTCTGTTTCCCAACTTCCCATGCAGATGGTGGTGGCCAATAAGATGGAAGGGGGGAGCGTTCAGGAAAGCTTTTCAAAGAGAGCTAATTTGTCAGGCAGAAACCTTTGCTCTTCCTTCTTTCTTCCATCTTCCTGCTTGGAACTGGACCATGATGGCTGGATTTTGAGCAGCCATCCTGTGACCATATGAAGTTGGAAGCACATGCTGAGGATGAATGAGCAAAAAGATAGAAAGATAGAAAGTGGGACATCACTCACATTGTGGAGTCATTAACCAGCCCTAGCACCCCCACAGCGAAAGTTCCTGTTATAGGAGAGAAAATTTCTCTCACTAGTTAAGCTATTTGTATACGGGTATCTATTACAGAAAGTCAAATGTAATTCCTAAATGAGTCAGAGGGTGTCATGTTAGGCAGTCTTTTCAGAGGAAATAATAACACGTGCCTGTTGATTTTTTTCTTTTTTAATTCCCACTGCCTAATGGAAATGATCATCACGAGACTCCCACTGAACAAGCCGCTCCCGGGAACTAGGCATTGGGCCAGGAGCTTTAGGATGGATGATCCCACCTCATAACAACCTTATAAGACAGGAACGATTTTGCAGACAAGGGAACTGAGAGGCAGAGAAGATGAGGGATTTGCCCAAAGCTACACAGTTATTAAGTAAGGTGCTTGGCCTTGAAGCCAGACCTGTCTGACCCCAAAGCCTGTGCTCTTTCCGCTGGACTTACCCCTGACTCCCCCGAAAGTAACACAAAGCCTTTCTCAAAATCACTATGCAAATACTACTTCAGGTTTACTGGAATGGCAAAAATGCCTGTCAATACTTCTGTTGACCATCCTATCAGGAGCAGCAGATGGCTAGAGTTAGAATTATAAAACATAATTTGAGAAAAGCCTTTGACAAAAATGGTTTCCAATCAAGACTTCTAATTATTTGTTTTAGTGAATTAAACTGTGAAGAATGCTCCTTTGGGTGAAGGCAGAAATATTAAAACCAGGGATGAGAAGAACAACAGCAACACTGAGTGCCAGCAGATATGTTCTTGGAGGTGAAGATGCTATAATTAATTGCTAATGAACAATCCCTCTTATAGCCAATTCACATGTATTAAAGGGCTCTAGAGGCACTGGTTCAGCGCATACTTAATGGGAACCTACTTTGTTCCAGACCCTGTGCAGGACCATACACATATACATATAAATAATTTTTATCTATAAATGTATATCAAATGTCATGGGCTTCTTTTAACCTCGTGAGAAGAAACTAACATCTACTGATCACTTACCACATGCTAGATGTTTCTGTGCAACCTTAACTAATCTCACACCATCTTGAGGCATGGGCAGCTTTATCCCCATTTCAAAGCATGCAGTCATCAAGCGTTAGCCTGCCCTAAGGTTACTCTCCCTAGAAGCTAGTGAGTGTTTCTGCATTGCCCCAAAGTGCCCCACAGGGCAGAGGCAGCTTAGTGAGTAATTTCAGGAAGCCAAGTGGCAACTGCTTACTTTGCAGGCTGCAGCAAACATATGATTTGTTATTTCACATTCTATCTTTAAAAATCATGCAGATTTTGCATTATACTCTATAATATAGCCATCCTATTTTTACATTAGAACAAATGTATTTAATTATTAATCAGCTGAATTGCTTAACTTTTCCCTCCTAAAATTGACACTTTGGAAAGATGTACCTTGTTTCTCTGCTGTGACTTCATAAACGCTCACACACAGCCACGTACCACTGGGAGAACCCGTTTAAGCAGTGCAAGGAGCAATTATTATGCGTTTTAAGGGCCTATTGCAGAATTGTTTTTTAATCATATGCACAAGGTTTTAAATACTGTCACATTCACCACATTCATTAATTCATTCAAGGAGTAGATGTATACTATGTGCCAGGACCATTGCCAATCTTGAGGCCAATCTAACCTCAAACTGGGTACTGACCCAACCCCACAGATTCTCCCAGTCAGGGAGAATCTCACCAACCAGATGTGGGACGAACTCCTCCCTGCCCAAAGCCCAAGCACGAGGAGGCTGGTATCACTGACCTGATGAAGGTACGAAAGCCTGTTGGTCCCAGCTTCATTGTCCCCTTGATTCCCAGGAACCGGATAAACAAATTTGCCATCCTGTCCACCAGGCGCAGGTAGTTGAACTGCTTTGCGTACTTGGGGAACACCTGCTTGAGGCAAATGGAGGGCAGATGGGCTTCGGGGTTGGTGCTGCCGTCCGGAGCACTGGTCAGCTCGCTGTCCAAAGAATCTTCCTTTCCGGCTACCGGTTTCTCAAGCTGCTGAGACCTGCAGCACACAAGGATTTAATGGTTCAGTGCTTTCCCTTGCATGTTTTCCTTTACCTGAGATAATCTTGAGAGGCAGGCAGTACCACTATTTTTATTTTACAGATCAGACAACTGACCTTAGAGAAGTGATATGGCCAAGCTCACACAGTGAGTATGTAGCAAAGCCTGGATCTGAACCCAAGGCAGAGCCAGGGCTGGAAACTTATGCTCCCTCCACTCTGTCATCCTGTGTTCCCAATATGGAGAACTTCCTTTACTATACTCAGGAGTCAAGAGAATACTCTATTATGTAGCAGCCAGGGTTTGATTTCAAACTCTTACTTATGGGTAGTAATTGAATAATTAAGAATTGTAAAAATCTCATTGAGGGCTGGCGAGAAGCCATAGCACAGCTCAAAGAACAATTTGCAAAGATGCATCCATGACCCAATTTTAGGAAGAGGAACAATTACATTTCTGGCCTAACCGGTTTTTAAAATTTGGAATTAATACCAAAAAAGTAGCCATAGTGTTGTGATTCCTTAGTCTGGATACTTTATTCTGAAATTATTGTGATAGTTGAGAAAACTAGCAGCTAACAATACTCAAATCTCCCCCTCTAGCTCAGAATGTTCTTTTCACCTCAGACTCAAATACCATTGACCCCATCCCAAATTTGCATCCCCCATCTGTTTGAATGTCATCACTATCTGCCAGTTACCAAAGCAGGAAAAGATAGAATGAATGCCAACTCCTCCATCCCCCTCTGTCTACAAGGCTAGTTCTGCCTCCTTAGGCCTGAAGCCTACTCTGTCCTGGCCTGGACCTTATCAACTCTTGCTCAGGGACTGTAACAATAGGTCCTCCTGCCTCCAACTTTGCCCATCTGTAGATGCATCCTCCCCACCTGAGTCACCTCTTTGAAAGCCACCTGGTCAGGTCACTACTTGCTAAAACCCCCAATTTCTCCCAAGTCTGACCTGGTCATTCTGGCAGTCAAGGCCCTTTCTGAGTTCTTCTGAGGCTTCTCATTTCTAGTCAGTGCCCCAGCCAGGCACACTACTCCCTTCCAGGCCTTGAACACGGCCCCTCCCACCTTACTGCCCACTGGCCTGCCCTGCAACCAGAGACTCAGTACTCCTTGGACACCCAAGGCCTCTCTCTGCACATGCAGCTCAGCCCCATCTCCTGCTCCTGTCCTGTCTAGAGCAGGAGACAGGTGGAACCCTCTCCACCTGTTGTGTCCATTCCTGAGACAACCCTCGGTGTGACTTGTGGTCAATAAATACTACCCAATTGACAAACTGATCCAGGAAAGTTAGAATGACCACCTCCTGGTACTGAGGCATAGTACTGCCATCAGTACCAAGGCCATTCTCTACGCTTCTCTTTATTAAATGGCCTCATGCTCAGTGCTCTCACTTCTAAGCAAAAACACCATCAGTGCTCACACTGGGCCTCTCGGCATCTTCATATGTGCTTTCCTCAGACCCTGGCTGCCTGGCTCACTTCTGTTCCACTTTCGAAACCAGCTGAGATCTCTCCTTGACCGCACTGACGACTATCTTACGTGCTCCACTCCCGTTCCTTGGACTTGCTTCCTCAACTGCCTTATTGTGCCTGTACTGTGTTGGTTTTTATTCCAGTCTCTCACCATTTTGTGAGCTCATTGAAGGCCTGGGCCACATCCTATTCACCTCCTGTTTCTATGGGATCTGGCACAAATTAGATGCTTGGGAATGTTTCATTCAATCTATCGAGTTAGAAAAGTCTGCTTTCAATATAATGCAAGGCTCAAAATATCAAAGTTATGATGCTTTGTAACCTGTAAGCTCCTTTAAATGGGAATGAAATTCAATAGTGAAGCAATATGCTTGACAGCCCTACCCAAATGGTTCTCTCTTCATATCAGTCCAAGGAACCTCTAGGAAAGGAGATGCCCTTGTGTGAATAAAAAATGCTGAAAGTCCTGTTCATAGTTCCTTTGAAGTGTGTGTTGGTGCTGGCCTCAAAGCAAGGACAGGCAGAGGGCAGAACCAGAGCCACACCAAGGAAAAACTCTTTTCAAGTTCAACAGTGTGGAGAGTTCTGGGGAGAGAAATGCTCCCTCCTACAAAGAGGAGAGTCCTCTTTCCTTGAGAGAGGCAAATGTGCCCACAGGGCTGCAATTTTCCTTCCACTAAAATGATTTTGTCATCATCACCTTGAACCTAAGACAGTAAATATCAGGTGGTTACTTTTCAGATGAAATGAAATGTTTTCCCATTAAGGTTATAGGAAGAAAGATGAGAAAAAAAGCGACACTCTTACGGGAAATTAGCTCTTAAATTACTGGATAAGTGGCAATCACTGACTTTATAAGCACTCAGTAAGTTTTTGTTCAAGGGAAGACTTGAAAATGTACAACTGGAATACACTCGATAACAATGAAAATAGCTCAGAGAACTCTTCAATCAGCAGCACTGTCCCATATTTATGAGCTCATGGACTTTCCTCACCACTCTGTGAAGTGGACTGCTGTTATTATACCCCATCCCAGATAAGGAAGCTGAGGACCAACAAGGAGTGTGGCATCTCCCTCTGAAGGAACTAGAGTTATAAGTCAGTTATTCTAACTGGGGCTCTTTCTATTTTACTACTCTATTATTCTAAAGCCCATCATGGTTCACACTGGGGGCTACGAATACACTTAATTTTTATTTTAAAGAGTTGTTTTAGATTATAATAGTAATTCATGCTCTTTGTAGACATTTTGAGAAATGTATAAAGGAATCAAAATCATTTGTAATCCCACAACTCTGAGGTAAACACTATTATTCTGATTTCTTATCTATATTTATAAAGTTAGGATGACATTACATGTATTTCAAATTCTTCTTTTTATACCATACCTCACAAGTATCTTCCCATGGCATTAAGTGTGTTGCCACATGTGTCATTTCTCATGACATGAAATATTTTGTATTAAGCCTGAACCATTTCCCCTCAGTTAGATATTGAGTGTCACATGGCCTGTCATTTGACTAAATAGAGTCAGTGATGAGTCCCCTGAGCGATGTGCTTCCTCTCAGAAGCATAAAATGTTACAGCTAGAAGTGGCTTTAGGGATCATTGTGTCCAATGATATCATCTATTGTTTTATTATAGTATAATATAATAATGAACATGAAAGTTGCCTTTGTAACCATTTTTAAGTGTACAGTTCAGTGGCATTTAGTACATTCACACTGTTATGTCACCATCACCACTATCTAACTCTGGAACATTTTCACAATGACATCATTTTAGAGGAGAAATGTAAACCCAGATAGATAAGGATGTTAGCACCAGTGGGTTATCTAATCAGCACATTGTCCAGGGTGGTTACCTTAGCCAGGGTTGCCCTGGTGATAGGGACCCTACTACCTCTAGGAATCCTCAGACAGGACTGGTTTTCCTACTGTCCATCAGAGGATGTCTCTTGCCAGTGTCCACCTCCTGCCTCCCATCCTGCCCCCAGAGCTGCACAGATTGTGTCTGTTTTCTCTTCTGTGTGACAGCTTTTCACATTTCTTTCAAAAGTTGCTGTATTTACTGGATGACTACCATTTCCCGCCCTTCCTGAATCCCAATTAATAACCTTGGGATGAAAAGGGCCTTCAAAGCCACAGATATCATTTTCTTGGACTCAACCACACATTCAGGGGAAGTCATTTTACTGAGCTTGAAGAAGACACTAAAGATAAAGCAGATACGTAAGAGGAAATAAAACAATGAGAAATAGCATCTTAGCTGGAGAAGACTCCAATTATCACATTGAGATTCAAAGTCATCACAAATACTGTAAAACCATGTTTTTACTTAATAGCATTTTAATGGAAATGTTGAGTTATGAAATAAAGGTGATTGGTAAAGAATATGTATCAAACTTATTAGTCCTTTGGGATTTTTTTGTTTTTGAGTTGGAATCTCACTCTGTCGCCCAGGCTGGAGTATCGTGGCATACTGACGGCCACCCCAGCGTCGACCTGCTGGACTCTGGCAATCCTTCCGTCTCAGCCTTCCAAGTAGCTGGAACAACAGGCGCACGCTACCACACCTGGCTAATTTTTTATTTATTGTAGAGATGAGGTCTTGCCAAATTGCCCAGATTGGTCTTGAACCTACGGGCTCAGGCAATCCACTTGGCTTGGCCTCCCCAAAGTGCTGGGATTACAGGCTGAGCTACCAAGTCTGGCCTGGGAAAATTTTTTTAAAAACTGGATTCGGTATATCCTTGATTCATTAAAACAGGGCAAATAGTTCTGGAATGTTCTATCTATTAACATTTTTCAAATGAAATGGAATTCTTTTTTATTAGGACTTGTGGAAAACCACCTACCTCTATTTTTGCATTGAAAAGCTTACTATTAAAAATCACCACTCATCATGGACCTATAATTTTTCAAGCACTGCACCAAGCAACTTATCCATATAATCTCATTTGTTTCTCATAACAATTCTATGAGGTAGGTAGAACTATTCCCATTTTACAGATTAGGAAACTGAGGCCCAGAGAGGCTGGATACTTGGGTAAGCTCAATCAGTAGTGGAATCAGGATTTTTACTCGGGACTGTCTCAAGACACACCCAGTGCTTAGTTTACCACATAGCTCTTGTGCTAATTTGATGTAAATCAAACCAGAGATTGTTCTTCTTGTGTATAAGCTGCATATATATATATATATCCAGAAATTGATTAAGTCAGGAGGCAGATCTAGCAAGGTCAAACTCTAGTCTCAGAGAAGTTGCTTGAGTTAATAACCATCTCTGGTTAAGCATTTATTCATTCATGAAACATTTTCCAAGCACTTACCAGGGTCCCTGGATATAACGGCGAGGAGGACACGGTTGCTGCATATAACTAAGTGGGGAAGACAAGACCCCATACATAAACAGTGACTTGGTAATGTAAGGACCAGAGAACCAGCATGGGTCTAGGTTGTGCAGGACTCTCAATATCAGAGAAGGGTGTATTTAGTAGTGTAGGAGGTGAGAAGA